GTACCCCTATACGCGTGCGTGTCATCAATTATATATATAAATGACAAATTTTTATTGTGATTGACACAGCCCAACGTCGTTTCGTTATACACGATGCCCCACGACTCGTGCCACCTTTATCAGCCGTCGCCCTATTTTATCAGTATTCGACTGACCAACACCGCGCGTTATACGCCGCGGTGCAAAGTCCAGCAAGTGCCGCACGGCCGACGACGTCCCGCCGCTAATGATACCGTAGTCTTCTTCCTGTTGTCAAAGTGACAATGACAACAAACCGATCTGCACTCGCGCACCGTCGTCATCTACGCTGTTAACCTTTTGACGCTCGAGGATCACGCCGGACATCGCATCGTTGACGCCAGCGAAAGTGCCGCGATATTATGCGAAGATTATATATTCTTACCATCGCCGCTAATATACATATATTTATATATTAATATTTATATATACGTATATGTTAATATTCATTTATATATTCTTACAGCCGACGCCGCTGCCGCCGTATATGCCTCGCGCCCCGCCCGCCAACAAAACACAGCTATACCTCGTGCATGATACGTTTACGTACTTAAGTCGCTTTACATATATATATATTCTAATTAATCTTAAAACTTATATATTAATTCGCTTTATTCTCATTAAGAGATATGTAGTGTATTCATTCCTATTACGGGGGATGATTCCCGTATCGTCATTTTTCGTTACTACCTCCACGTTGAGCGCCTGCTGCTTTCTTTGATGTGGTAGCCGTTTCTCAAACTCCCTCCCCGGAATCGAACCCTGATTTCCTTTTACCCGATACAACCATCATATTGATAGTAACTTCTATCATAACAAGAAACTAAAAAGTAAAAAATAAATATAGTTTAAAAAAACTAAAAAACACGCTTTTTAAGAACATCGAAATAAAAAGTTCAAAATAATTTTTAAAATAAGCGTAAAACAATAATGAACGAAAAGTACTAGTATTATTGTGACAAAAGCGTGGGTGCTTTGTGCTAAATTTTTCGTATATTGAGCGCCTGACGCTTTTATCACAATAATACTAATACTTTTCGTTCATTATTGTTGTTAGGTCGCGGGTAGATAATACTAATGCGCTTACGCGACACCTTTTTTTTATAGTGAACTGTATTTTTTTTTTAATAGAGAAGGAAGAAAGTTAATGTATAATAAATGATTAAATAATTTAGATAACGCCTCCTTTCTCAACTTAAGATCCTCTAGATCATCAATGCCCCAAGTATATTTGGTTAGATTAGAGCGAGCTCTTGTTAGACTTGACTTTATTGTAGATCTCTCAATCATTAATTGAGTGACACGGTTAGGATTACTCATTTTTAATTATAGTATCTCAAAATGAATTGTAATAGTGGTAACTAAGAGTTATTTTTGTTTGACTGATACCTCAGATGATATAAGAAATTTTAAGAAACACAGAAATAATTATTCTCACCACTTATAGAAAAGTTTACTGACAATAAAAAATAGTACTGAGTTGTTTATCACGGATCTGAATTTTTCAACACAAGGTTGACTGAGCGTTCAAAAGAATGTGCTACAATAATATTCAGCAAAATACTTCAATAAATCACTTGCTAGAACACATAAATTATTGCCAAAATTGAGAATATTATCACAAATTACATAAAATACACCATTTAACACTATGCTATGCAGAGGTTTATTTTTGTTACTAGTTGTTGCTTAAATAATAATATGGTAACTGACAGATGCAATAAAAAGTTCAATTATGACTAGATAAGTTTCACTTATAATAATTAAATATAAATTATCTCACTATAGAAAAAACACAATTAACTAAAAATTCACTTTTATAAAAACTCACTTCCCCTATGATCCGGCCCGAAGGACCAAATGTTAGGGCTCGGGCAAATAATACTAATGCACTTACACGACACCTTTTTTTTATAGTGGACTGTATTTTTTTTTTGAATAGAGAAGGAAGAAAGTTAATATATAATAAATGAGTCCGATTCAACTTTGAACAATATAATAATTTATAAATTCAAAAAAAACAATAATAATAATAGGAACAAATAAATTTTTATAATGCTATGTATTACCTAGTTGTTGATTTATACAATGCTTTACTATTTGCTTGGACAACAACACAATTGTTTACCTGAACAGTTTACAAAAAGGATTTTGTCTGGACGACGTTGAACACAATTGTTGCCTGGACGGCTTACAAAAAAAAGAATTTGTCTGGACGACGTTGAACGCAATTTGCCTTAACGCCTTATAAAAATATTATAAAACAATTTGCCTGGACGGTTTAAACATAATTTGCCTTGACGGCTTATAAAATAAAATATTTCAGGTCCTACCGTTGCGCATAGAGCGCAGCACTATCTGCCCGCGCCCTAACAATTGTTTTAAGCTTATTTTAAAAATTATTTTGAATTTTTTAATTCGATGTTCTTTAAAAGCGTGATTTTTAGTTTTTTTAAACTATATTTTTTTAGTTAAAGGCACACTCAAACACTAAAGTCTTTGTTTTAACAAACATCGCTCCGGCAGACAACGCAGAGAAACTCACGAGTATATTTGCAGTTTTTAATTTTTGTCTTGGTGATTATTTTGTCACATCCTTTCAAGGCGCTAGCGCCGGAACACATTGGATCACGACAAGTCCACTTTGATTAATTTTTTATATAGATATAAATATTTTTTAATCTTGTTTTAGATAGGCCAGAAAAATTTTAAAAAATATTGGTGTTGATCTTTTAATAAAATATATTCTCTCATAAGAAAACAATTATTCAACAAACGTAAAAATTAATTAGGACAGATAACAATTATATTTCTAATAAAATATAGAGTGTTCAAAATTATTACATCGCTATTTAGGGGTTGAGCCTAAATGCCGGTCGACAGTATTCTAAGGGACCAACGGGAGATAGCTGGCTAGGCTATATCTACCTTAGGTAATGAAATTTTCTATTTAATTTATATTCCCTTAGAGGAACTACCAAGGGTCGCACTACAATATATATATACATAACACTTTTGGGTTAACAACGATATAAATAAATATTTATTAAATGATTGAAATATTAAATAGATAATACAACCTGCTGGACACCTAGAGATGATATAATCCAACAGAGAGCTGATGGAGATACACACACACGCACTTAATACTTGGTAGAAAAGTTAAGCAATGCATGCACAATGAATGATAAATGTTTATGAATTTAAAAAAAATAATTTAATGCTTTTTATGACAATAAAAACTAAGTTAAGTTAACCTAATGTATGTAGCCAAAACGCTATCAAAAACTTGCATACATTTACAATAGGTGTCTTAAATTAAGTTAAGCATGCTCGATAATAGAACTAATGTATACAGTAAAATATATGCGAAACACACACAGTGACCATCTTATAAAATTCAGTGTCCATTTATTATATAGAAAAAAAAAAAGAAATATACACAACAGGGTATTTTGAATTAGGCTGACTTGCACCTTAGTTGCGGGACGATTATTTTAAATTTATATTAAACATGCCACAATATAATAAATCGGACTTGCTAAATATAAATAAATGTATAATAAATAAACAGACAATGCTGTAATGTGGCTGGGGCCCAAAAATTATAATATAACAATACTATATATTTCAATAGTAATAGTAATAAGGATTTAATTTTCTAGCTAGAAATTACTCACCCAATGGTCAACAACAAAGGGTTGATAGAACATAAATATGCACTAATCGTGATAATTTGATGTCTCGGTGATCAAATCGCTACATACGAAATTATCCGAAGATGTTAAGGTCGTGGTTTGGATGTTCTATTAAAAGGGACTGTGGCTCAAAATAAAATGACAAAAGTCATGGTAGTGGTCGTGACATTGACCGTGGCTATGTCGTTAGTGGTGACTGGCTATGAATGACTATAAAAAATGGCGAGATAGCAACCAGGTGAATGCAACGTATACACTAGGGTGGCCCTCAAAAATCGAATGTCTTTTTTTTTACGCTACCCCTTAATTTTTTTTAATGGTCAAATAAATGATCTGCGCAAAATTTGGGACCAATCCGTTAAGGTTAACCCGTGCCCCCGGGCCTATTAAATTGAGTCGTAGAGTCAAATTTAAAAGAAATAACTGATCTATGTGTCATAACTTTTTTTTCTCTTAACTTAGAATAATAAAAGTAAAACTCAAGTATAGGAAATTTTACAAGAAATTCAAAAAATAATAACTTCAATGTTGTTTTCTCAATAAATAGCCCTTAAAAACACTACATACAGTAAAAAACATGTAAAAGTCTTAAAATACGTTACAACTGATTTTGTTGATTTTTAATTATTTATTTTCATTTTATTTTTTGGAAAACGCATATTCGTTTAAAAAATATTCTAGAAGTTTAATTTTTTATGCCAAGTACGATAATTATATTAGATTTATTATTTTATGTAGAGTTAATTAATGATTAATTACAAATTTAACAAAATTGATTGTATTATTACATTTTGTCGTATCAATATATCAATTTTTGTTTAATGAATTACTTAGCCATTTGCGCATAGAAGATAGGTCGTCGGGACAAATTTTTTTTTTCATTTTATAGTACATAAAATAAGCTTTAATTTGATATATGTTTAAAGGACACAGTATTTCTGGAACGTTTTCAAAAATTAAGTTGAAAAAGTTAGTTTTTGTAAAAAAATTGCTATTTTCAATCCTCCTTGTGAGCAGAATAAGTGTTAGATTTTCAAAAAAAATGATATCAAACGAAAGGAAATTACCTAAAGTTTCAATATAAAAAAATATTATTTTGATTTGTTAATATTTGAAAAAGTTATGGCAGTTTTAAGTACAAAAAACATCCTTATAGAAGGTGATTTTTATCCCAAATATTATATTTTTTTTTAAATTTCGACAGCAATTTGCACATAGTAGATAAGGTGTCGATACAATTTTTTTTTCAAAATTATTATTCTGGAAGAACGTAATGGGCAAAAATAAATAAATCAATAAATATTATTTTTTTTTTAGCTTAAAACACGTTTTTGTTATTATTATTATTATTTAAAATAAATAATACAAAAAAAAATATAATAATATAAATATAATGATACATTAATCTTCTTTAAATATTTTTAAAAAATTAAAAAATCTCCAAAATAAGATAGCTCTCTTGTTTCAACGACAACTCCAATAGTTCTCTTACTCTCATGACGGAAGAGATAAATACACTTTTTGTTCTCCATATCTTTTTCAGAGTAATTAGGCCCGTTTTTGTCAAAAAACATCCATTCACGATCTCTCATGAACAAAAAAATACACACATCCAGGTAATATGCTGCAGCATAATATTCTATAAAACTACACGTACTATCTATCTTCCCTGAAAAGTATATAAAGATTAGTTCTCCGAATAATTTTCTTTAAATTTTTTTTTTATAATAAAATGTTCAAGCAATTATATAGATTCTTAGATTGGATAAAAAGTAAATTTTATAATATATTAAAGTTTTTTATATTCATCACATAAATTTTAAAAAATTTATTTTATTCAAAATTCTTTATTCTATTAATAATGATATAAAGAACATTGAATATGTTGTGATATGTAACCTGCATTTGCTAGTAAGGCCTTTACCAATAAAGACAGATACAAAGTCGAATTCATCACTGGATGGAGGTTCTAGCAACTGGAGTATAGTGTAATTTAAATGTAAATAACAAAACTAATGTTTTAAAACATTACTAATGATTTATTTACTAAGTTCATACATTAACTCTAGGGGGAAAAGAGATTACTGAAATCTGACACTAGTGGATTTTAAGCTAAGACTTGTTATGATTAGTGGGAGCTGTTATTTTTATTACTAGTAATTTCCCGACCACACTCTTCGTCACGCCTAGGTATATTAATAACAGTAATTTTATTAATTAGATAATTTTCTATTCTTTAAATCAACTAAATATATATGTTTCCAATTAAAGAAAATTTTACATATGATCCTATATTTTTGGCTTTTGATAGTTACTTCACATTTCATACATAATGGACACCAATAAAAATTTTCATAGCCAATATAGGAAAGTAATTAAACACTCTAACATTATAATGTAGGAAAATCAGTGTAACCAAATCGCTAAAAAAATGTTATCCTAAAACAGAATAATAATTAAAAAATGCTTTTTAACAAATTTAAAACCTTCCTTAGTAATTAAATAATCAATGTTTTCTATATAAGAATTGCGAATAATCAAATAATAAAATTATTGGATAAATCTAAATATTTACAAAACAAAAAAAAAATTATTTTTTATCTTTTTCGTAAAACTGATAACATTATCTCAAATTAAATTGTTACTAATTTTCGTTCTCATTATAGAGTATTGAAGACCTGGTTTACACTTATTTCCATGTATCTATTATAAAATATTATTATTAATCAACAAATGGTAGCGCAGTGAACCTCTGTGCTACTGTTTCTTTTTTTTTGATTGAGTAAAACAAAAAAATTCTTGAACTTTATAATATACATTTTCACATTTAACTGTCGCTCTTAAAATCTGCCGTTTAAGGCAACCTCATGTGGTGCTAGTCTCCCTATATGCAGCCATGCTTATCATCAATAATTTTATTAGTTATACACCATTATAAAATTTCTTTTAATTTTCTTTATTACCATACCTTCGTCTGTGTATGAACTAAAATTTTCTCTACAAACTGGACATCTCTTTTGATTTGTATGTTCTAGTGGAGCAGCACATTTTTTACATAAAGAGTGTAAACACTTGTCAAAAACAACAGGTAAATCGGCTTTATCCAAGCAAATTGGACATACATCAGATCCATCTAAAAATTTTACATACGAAATACCATATAAAAATATTAAAAAATATGAATGGCAATATTAATTTTAAAAAATAATACTATTTCAAATATTGGAAATTTTTAAAATTTACCTTTATTATACGGTGAAACTAAAATAAATAAACAATTCATCAGCATTATCCTTATTGTCTTAAGATAAATTTATTAATTAATTTTAATGTTAATTTATTTAAACATTTCAAACTACAAATTGAGCTTATATCTCAGATGATTTATTCATTAATTTTTACTTATTTCTCAGGAAAAAAGATCAATAACTTGTATTGTATATTCTTTATACAACTACTGGATTTTAAATAAAAAAACTTAAACTATTAATTAAAATTATTCAATCATCCTTTAATGTCAAGGATGGTATGTATTAATCTTTATAATTATTAATGACGCATACTCTTCATTATATAATCTCATTGCTTTTAAATGATTACATTATAAATAATTAGTCAAATAATTATATCTATTTTAGCTTCGATGCGAAGCTGAAAAGGTATTGGTTTTACTAAGATGTGTTTTTTTTTTTTTGTGTCTGTTACCACTTTTTCTCAGCTCTCACCGAACCGATTTCTTTCAATGATACGTCAAAAGATCACAAATTGTATGTAGTCGAAGACATTACTCTCAAAAAAAAATTTCCCTCGTTCTCCGTAAATGGGGGAAACCTCCGACAAAAATAACAAATTTAAAAATGGCTAATTTTTTCAATTTTTTTTTACTAAAAACTGCCGTAACTTTTTTAAAAATAAATATATCAATATAATTATTTTTTATATAGATGCATAATATTATTACCTTTCATTTAGTATATTTTTTTTATAAATTGAACCTTTAACCTGCCCACAAGGGAGGATTTAAAATGACAATTTTTTCACACAAAATTAACTTTTTCAACTTAACTTTTAAAAATGTTCCGGAAGGTCTGACACTTTTATATATATATTAAATTAAAGCTAATGTAATGTTCTTTATTATGCAAAAAAAAAATTTCGGACTTTATTTTATCTTCACGGTGAAAATGGCAACCCAATGCTATTTTTGTGTGAAAATTTTCAATTTTGTATTTTACATTTTTGACTTTATTATGCTATAACTTTTTGAAAAATGTATGGATCAATATAATTCTTTTTTTTTATAGATACATGGTCTTTACCTATCAGTTAGTATATTTTTTTTATAAATCTGACTTTTTACCTGCCTACAGGGGCGGATTCAAAATGACAACTTTTTCACAAAAAATTTACTTTTTCAACTTAATTTTTTAAAGTGTTCCGGAATGTCTGACACTTTTATATATATCCTAAATTTAAGCTAATGTAATGTACTTTATTAAGCAAAAAAAAAATTTCGGACTTTATTTTGTCTTCACGGTGAAAATAGCTACCAAATGCTATTTTTGTGTGAAAACTATCGATTTTATTTTTTACATTTTTAACTTTATAATGCTATAACTTATTGAAAAGTGTATTGATCAACACAATTTTTTTATGAAAAATAATATTTTTTAATAATCCTTTTTTCATTCAGGATATTAATAACGAACTAGCAGATCATGTTGCTTTTGGTATAATCCACCAATTTTTTAAAATTAAACACTACCCAAATATTTGCATCAAAGTGTTTTTTTTTATAGTGATTTTAATTACTGTCAGATATCATTATACTTGATCCAACTATTCCATGTCATCACTGTGCCACAACCCACCTGTGTTGGGTTTTTTAACTTTATAATGCTATAACTTATTGAAAAGTGTATAGATCAACACAATTTTTTTTTTTTTGAGAAATAATATTTTTAACAACCACTTTTTCATTCAGGATATTAATAAGAAAATAGCAGATCATGTAGCTTTTTTTAACTTAATAATTCTATAACTTTTCGGAAAATGTATGAATCGCTAATTTTTATATTTTTTTATAGATACATGGTCTTTACCTATCAGTTAGTATATTTTTTTTATAAATCTGACTTTTTACCTGCCTACAGAGGGGGATTCAAAATGACAACTTTTTCACAAAAAATTATCTTTATTATGAAAAAAAAAAATTTCGGACTTTATTTTAACTTCACGGTGAAAATGGCTACCAAATGCTATTTTTGTGTGAAAATTCTCGATTTTTTTTTTTATATTTTTAACTTTATAATGCAATAACTTATTGAAAAGTGTATTGATCAACACAATTTTTTTATGAAAAATAATATTTTTTAATAATCCTTTTTTCATTCAGGATATTAATAAGGAACAAACAGATCATGTAGTTTTTGGAATAATCCACCATTTTTTAGCTTCGATGCGAAGCTGAGAAGGTATTGGTTTTACTAAGATGTGTTTTTTTTTTTTTTTGTGTCTGTTACCACTTTTTCTCAGCTCTCACCGAACCGATTTCTTTCAATGATACGTCAAAAGATCACAAATCGTATCTAGTCGAAGACATTACCCTTAAAAATTGAAAAAAATTCCCTCGTTCCGCGTAAAAGGGGTAAACCTACAAAAAAATTACGAATTTAAAAATCGCTAATTTTCGAAATTTTTTCAATTTTTTTTACTTAAAAGTGCTATAACTTTTTCAAAAATAAACATATTAATATAATTTTTTTAACATAGATGCATAATATCATTGCCTCTCATTTGGTATATTTTTTTCATAAATTTAACCCTTAACCTGCCCACAAGGTAGGATTTAAAATGACAATTTATTCACAAAAAATTAACTTTTTCAACTTAACTTTTGAAAATGTTCTGGAAGGTCTGACACTTTTATATATATCTTAAATTAAAGCTAATGTAATATACTTTATTATGGTAAAAAAAAATTTCGGACTTTATCTTATCTTCATGGTGAAAATGGCTACCGAATGCTATTTTTGTGTGAAAATTTTCGATTTTGTATTTTACATTTTTAACTTTATTATGCTATAACTTTTTGAAAAATGTATGGATCAGTACAATTTTTTTATGAGGAGTAGTATTCATATACATCTTTCATATGACATACTGTTTTTTTAAATCGAACCATTTCCCTATATACGAGGGGGGTTCAAATCTAAAAACACAGCACAGGGGGGTCGCGGCACAGTGGTGACGTGGCATAGTTGGATCAAGTATAATCTGACACTGATTAAAATCACTATCAAAAAAAAACGCTTCGATGCAAATCTTTAGATAGTGTTTAATTTTAAAAAATTGGTGGATTATTCCAAAAGCTTCATAAACTGCTAGTTCCTTATTAATATCCTGATTAAGATAAAGTATGTCGAATGAAAAAGGGATTATTAAAAAATAGTATTTCCCATAAAAAAATTATATTGATCAATACACTTTTCAATAAGTTATAGCATTATAAAGTTAAAAATGTAAAAAATAAAATTGAGAATTTTCACACAATAATAGCATTTGGTAGCCATTTTCACCGTGAAGACAAAATAAAGTCCGAAATTTTTTTTTTCCATGATAAAGTATATTACATTAGCTTTAATTTAAGATATATATAAAAGTGTCAGACTTTCCGGAACACTTTCAAAATTTAAGTTGAAAAAGTCAATTTTTTGTGAAAAAGTTGTCATTTTGAATCCCCCCCTGTAGGTAGGTAAAAAGTCAAATTTACAAAAAAAATATACCAAATAATAAGTAAAGACATCATGCATCTACAAAAAAAAGAATTATATTGATCCATACATCTTTTGAGAAGTTATAGTATTATAAAGTTAAAAATATAAAAAAGAATTTTTTTACAAAAATCGTATTTTTTTTATAAACTTTGTTGTCTGTTTTCACCATGAAGATAAAATAAAGTCCGAAATTTTTTTTTACCATTATAAAGTATATTACATTAGCTTTAATTTAAGATATATATAAAAGTGTCAGACCTTCCGGAACACTTTCAAAAGTTACGTTGAAAAAGTTCTACTTTCTATATGCATTTTTATGTTTTGAATCCCCCCTGTATTTAGGGAAATGGTCCGATTTAAAAAAACAGTATGTCGAATGAAAGATCTATATAAATACTACTTCTCATAAAAAAATTGTAAAGATTCATACATTTTTCAAAAAGTTATAGCATAATAAAGTTAAAAATGGAAAATACAAAATCGAAAATTTTCACACAAAAATAGCATTCGGTAGCCATTTTCACCATGAAGATAAGATAAAGTCCGAAATTTTTTTTTTTCATGATAAAGCATATTACATTAGCTTTAATTTAAGATATATATAAAGGTGTCAGAGCTTCCGAAACATTTTCAAAATTTAAGTTGAAAAAGTTAATTTTTTGTGAATAAATTGTCATTTTAAATCCTACCTTGTGGGCAGGTTAAGGGTTAAATTTATGAAAAAAATATACCAAATGAAAGGTAATGATATTATGCATCTATATAAAAAAGAATTATATTGATATGTTNATGCATCTATGTAAAAAAAATTATATTAATATGTTAATTTTTGAAAAAGTTATAGCACTTTTAAGTAAAAAAAATTGAAAAAATTTCGAAAATTAGCGATTTTTAAATTTGTAATTTTTTTGGAGGTTTCCCCC